CCATTTTGATGCTGCTAGACTGGGAAGAAATGGATATAGGGGCATCAGAGAATCGAATTCCAATGCACTGAGTGCAATACTTTTGCAGATGCAAATGGTCGGCCACGCTATAGTTGCATGTGTAAAAGGTTAGACCTGTATTGAATTCTTTTAATTTATTGAATAAAGATACCATAACCTTTTACATTACCATACAAAATGGCATATTTGTCCGAAGAAAGGAGCGGTTTGATGATTATATCAAAATTTGATTTTTCTAAAAATATAAGAGATGCTCTAACCTTTACAAAAAGGTTTTGAAATTACTTCCGAATTTTGAAAATTGTACTCTTAGGCAGTGTTGTTAAACTCGAGTTTTATATCGTAAAATCTTACGATGTTATGTATGGATTTCGAGTAAAATTTATTTTAAAATTAAGTTTTCATAAAATCTAATGATAAAAACATAAAAGTGTAATTTTTTTTTTAAATCGTTTGAAATCTCGATTTTACTTTTACAAAATTGAAGAAGAGATTTCTAGAAATATGCCGCAGGGGAGGAAAAGATTTTGGACTGCTGCAGTGCCGGTGTGCCCCTTTTCACTGCCACTGCTCACATCTCAGGCACTGGCGGGATGAAAATCTAATTGGTGACCCAAATCATGTGGAGCCAGCCTTACACAGTAGGATTTGGTTGCTGCTGCTTACTGCTCAAGGGAAGAAGGATAAAATTTGTTGCCAAAAAAAGAAGTAGATAAGGATCAGAAAGCGAGCTTGAATGGAGAATAGTGGCAGAAAAAGAAGGAAGATGATAAGGCGAAACCAAGGGAGGTGAAACAATGGAAGGATACTCTTTTTAATGGGTAGTATGTTGACACGTGATTGGTGTTATTTTTTGGGCAGTGCTAGCTGCTAGGGGCACTTGCCTCCTGCACTTTCCAGCCAACACATGCTTTTATTGGGCCACCTAAGCTTACTTAACCATGAAATGATGACCTCTCCGGAAACCAACATAACGTGGCCCAATGAAAATGGAAGTGTTGGCTGTGATTAGTGTTCCTAGCATTGCTCTTTCTTGAACTTTACCGTGCGTTTCGATGGGTGACGTGCCTCAAGAGAGGTGAGAGATCAGCTATTTTAGTGATTAAATTTT